AAATTAAGCAGATTTGAAAATTTTTGGTGTGCATGGCACCTTAAATATGCTTATTTTTATTATATTCTTAGTACGATTTTTTTACAGTAAACTTTATACTATTTAAATTAGTGCTCCAAGAGATTTGGAAATTAAGCAGCTTTAAAAATTTTAGGTGTGCGTGGTACCTTAAATATTCCTATTTTTATTATATTCTTAGCACGAATTTTAATAAGTACGATTTTTTACAATAAACTTTATACTATTTAAATTAGCGCTCCAAGAGATTTGGAAATTAGCAGCTTTGAAAATTTTAGGTGTGCGTGGCACCTTAAATATTCCTATTTTTATTATATTCTTAGTACGAATTTTAATAAGTACGATTTTTTATAGTAAACTTTATACTATTCAAATTAGTGCTTTAAGAGATTTGGAAATTAAGCAGCTTTGAAAATTGTAGGTGTGCGTGGCACCTTAAATATTCCTATTTTTATTATATTCTTAGTACGATTTATTACAGTAAACTTTATACTATTTAAATTAGTGCTCTGTGAGATTTGAAAATTATAAGAATATAATAAAAATAGGAATATTAAAGTGCCACGCACACCTAAAATTTTCAAAGCTGCTTAAAGTGAAACTGAAAAGTAAGACTCACGTTATAACATTGCGTGTAATAAAAGATACATGTTATATAATTAGCCGTTGACCATAGTAAGCTCAGTATACAACTTGGTACTATGTACGTGTATGCCAAAGTTACCAATCTTTGACCGAAAGTTATTGTTTTCAAAGTTAACCGAAATTTCTCAACATAGCCTGTATCTATTAGGAAATTTAATCTCAGGCTGTAGTACTAATACATTACGAAACAGTTGTTAAAGTTAATTAAAATCTTTGTGAAACATCGCAACGTAATTTCCTAATAGATATAACTTAGGCTTAGAACTATTATATATTACAGTAACAAAATATTGATTAATATTTTTATACTATTCTATATATATAATATACAATGTTTTATATATATAATATATTTTATTTATACATTCGAAATTTTATATAATTATTTATATATACAATATGATATAGAAATATATCATACATCATAGAATATAGTATTGTATTTTATATATATACAATAATTCAATAATAAGATACTATTTAATCATCTTTTCTTATTTTATTATAATAAAACGTACGGTATATTCGTGCAATAGGGATCTACAGAATAATTCCTCTTTTACCAACAGTAAGATAAAAAAATATAAATATTTATACCAATTTATTTTAAAAAATATTTTTTAGATTAAATTTCACGGTTACGTGTATTAGTGATTTTTTATTCCAACCTAAAAATCCTTTTTATTTCTGATAATATTTTGTGAAATCTACTGAAAACGATGAAATTATATGATAAAAATGATGTTATCAAATCGATTAATACAATTTCCCGTGACGGGTATGCAGAGTCTTGCAAATTGAGCAATTAGTACTCCATAGAATAACAAAATATTCCACGAAATTCGTGACAGGATAATAAAAAAATACATTTGATTTATTTCGCGAAATTAATTAAAATGATAAATTCACGGAACCTTGCTATTGAATTTTAAAAAAGGAAAGGAATCATAACAGAAATGAAAATTAATTGAGCGTTAAATACTCCATTTTTTGAAAATTGTAGGTGTGCGTGGCACCTTAAATATTCCTATTTTTATTATATTCTTAGTACGATTTATTACAGTAAACTTTATACTATTTAAATTAGTGCTCTGTGAGATTTGAAAATTATAAGAATATAATAAAAATAGGAATATTAAAGTGCCACGCACACCTAAAATTTTCAAAGCTGCTTAAAGTGAAACTGAAAAGTAAGACTCACGTTATAACATTGCGTGTAATAAAAGATACATGTTATATAATTAGCCGTTGACCATAGTAAGCTCAGTATACAACTTGGTACTATGTACGTGTATGCCAAAGTTACCAATCTTTGACCGAAAGTTATTGTTTTCAAAGTTAACCGAAATTTCTCAACATAGCCTGTATCTATTAGGAAATTTAATCTCAGGCTGTAGTACTAATACATTACGAAACAGTTGTTAAAGTTAATTAAAATCTTTGTGAAACATCGCAACGTAATTTCCTAATAGATATAACTTAGGCTTAGAACTATTATATATTAAAGTAACAAAATATTGATTAATATTTTTATACTATTCTATATATATAATATACAATGTTTTATATATATAATATATTTTATTTATACATGCGACATTTTATATAATTATTTATATATACAATATGATATAGAAATATATCATACATCATAGAATATAGTATTGTATTTTATATATATACAATAATTCAATAATAAGATACTATTTAATCATCTTTTCTTATTTTATTATAATAAAACGTACGGTATATTCGTGCAATAGGGATCTACAGAATAATTCCTCTTTTACCAACAGTAAGATAAAAAAATATAAATACTGATACCAATTTATTTTAAAAAATATTTTTTAGATTAAATTTCACGGTTACGTGTATTAGTGATTTTTTATTCCAACCTAAAAATCCTTTTTATTTCTGATAATATTTTGTGAAATCTACTGAAAACGATGAAATTATATGATAAAAATGATGTTATCAAATCGATTAATACAATTTCCCGTGACGGGTATGCAGAGTCTTGCAAATTGAGCAATTAGTACTCCATAGAATAACAAAATATTCCACGAAATTCGTGACAGGATAATAAAAAAATACATTTGATTTATTTCGCGAAATTAATTAAAATGATAAATTCACGGAACCTTGCTATTGAATTTTAAAAAAGGAAAGGAATCATAACAGAAATGAAAATTAATTGAGCGTTAAATACTCCATTTGAAAATATTTAACGACTATTACCATAGAATATTATGCCTTCGTATAAAAAGAAATATATATATATATAAATTTACATGTATTCGTTACGCATAAAATTTCGTTCACCAGATTAATTTGTCAACTCTTCAAATTTTTTAACAACGTATTGTTTTAATTTGAAACAAATTTTGTATATTCTCCATTATATTTTACTATAAATCGTGGGATTTATTTTAAGATTATAAATTTTTTCGACATTTAAATTTATTATAAAATTTAATTGTATTAATTTTAATAAATCAATTGCATTTGACTAAATGCACGTAACATGTTACGGAATAAATATTTTTATCAAACATTTTTATAAATCCTGTTCCTACGTTACAGTTACATCGGTGTGTAAAACACGTGTCAAATTTTATTATAAATTATTTATCAAATTTAAAATCTGAAAAAGGGAAATTAATATGACCGTATTAACTAGAAGACAAATTAAATCGTCGTCTGAATTGTCAATATTTTAACTTATACATACTTCCTTTTTCTTAATAGACTATTATATTCAGTACGAAAAATATTTCATTTTATTAGCAAGGATTACAATAAATAAATCAATTTTTAACGCTCGTTAGCTTTTCAATTAATTTCCGAATTTTCCATCAACAATTAACCCAATTGATAAATCAAACATACTTCGCATTTCATAGTATATCGCTGCATTTGTATAAAAAATATACTACCATATACATTCGTCAAAATTACAACACGTAAATTAACTTTTACCCATCATTAACTTTCTCTCAAAACAAAATTTCCCTTCGGCGAATAATTTAATTAATAAATTAAATAAATGTATTTCCTTTATATATCGTTGCATTTGTATCACAGATACATCGTGTAATTTACATTTAATAGAATTAAAATGAACAAATCAACCTGTAATGTTCATCGACTTCCTGTGCAAACACGATTTCCCATTAATAATTAATCCAGTCGTCAACTTAACCCTTTGCATTCGAAAGGCGACTCTTAATCACCATTTAATCAGATTCTAAAGATCGTTGTTAATTAACCCTTTGCACTCGAGGATTTTTTCGTTACAGGAAAATAGTAATTTTCTGCCATAAGGTCTAGGATATTTTTAAAACGGTGAATAAAAAATCGTATGCAAATTAATAAGTAGAATTATTTTATTTTGACATTCCACGCATCGTTGGCTAATTTTAAATTTGGTATACTAATTAACACCGATCTTTAAAATCTGATTAAATGGTGACTAAGAGTCACCTCTCGAGTACAAAGGGTTAACCCTTTGCACTCGACGAATTTTTGGCTAGAGAAGATTAGATTAATAGAAATTAATAAGAGAAGATTAATAGAAATTAAGAGAAGATTAATAAAAATTCAAAGATTCTCTACTAAAGAACTGACGATACCTTTTTGAGCAGTAAATGAAGAATTGTATAATAATAGAATAGTAGAATTATTTAATTTCGATACTTTGCACACTGTTACATTACATTAAATTTGATATATTAATTAATATCGATCTTTCAAATTTCATGTAATGGTGACTGAAACTCACCTCTCGAGTGCAAAGGGTTAATATCTCGAATTTAAAATTGCCCAACGATGCGTGGAATATCGAGATAAAGTAATTCTACGTCTTACAATTAATTTGCCCTTCTTATTTACCGTTTTGAAAATATCGTTGTCTTTAGGTTAAAAAATCTCCGAATTCCTGTATTTCTGTAACGAAAAGATCGCCGAGTGCAAAGTGTTAATTTACTACTAATTTCCATTTTATCGTTTACACGATAGTATATCTTCGAATCTAATCAGCTTTCGCCCAAACGTCGTACTTCTATCTCCCCTGATTATCTACGATATCGTAGATCTGAAACTGGAGCAGCTGGAACGGGAACGTTCTCGGCATTTCACGCCATCGCGTTCATTTACACAGGGTAAAATACTCTCCCATTGGCATCCAGCGTTAGCGAAACAAGTTGGACATCAATCGGGTTAATTATCGAGGAATAACTTGAACATAGTTTCTCGGATGTATCCGGAAGATCCCCGGAGCATGGAACAACCGTAACGCGTGAAGACATCAGATAAGGATGCGATTGCGATACACTTACCAGACAAGTGATAGGCGCGAGCACGACCCAGCTGAGCCACCAATATCTGTGGAGCTCTGAACCGCATTTGCATTTCGGCTATGTTACGCAGGAATTTGTTGCAGCCGTAACACCAGCCTACCACGCCAACCTCTGCAATGCCGATCAATAGTATCGCCCAAGAAGCAGTGTTCCAGTCCATCAGCGTGAACAGGTAAATACCACCATCGAACACCATCGGTATAGCAAGGAGCCAGCAAGTGACGCATATCCCTAATACCACGTAGCTCTCGTGTTTTCGTAAATCTGGTCGCAGGTCCAATATGGCGGTGTTTATCGCCTGCACGCCTGCGAACTGTGTATCGTAAAAAGCAACGACCGACTGTGTTACTCGAGATTCGATGCTCGCCCGCCGGGGATTCTCGTTACCCTTTCTACGTTTTTACATTCTCTCCTACTTTCTCCCCCTTTCTCTCTCTCTCTCTCTCTTTCTTCCTTCCATTTTTTTTCTCTCCTCCCTTTTTTTTGACGCCGTCTGTCTTAATTACCCTTCAGCGTGCAAGCTGCAGGGATGGCGGAGGGGTGAACGCGCGTAGAAAACAAAGGCCCTTTCGCTCTCTTTTCCACGGCTCTCCCTTCTTTCTGCCTCACTCGTTTACCTTTCCACGCTCTCTTATTCGAAGGAAAAAGGGAGAAAAGACGAGGACAAGAAGAAAGGTGTGGATTTCAGTGGGACGGCAAACCATAACTCTTTCCATGATATACGAGCCCCGAGGCGGAGAGACGGGAGGCGATGCAAAAGTAACATGGCACGATCGTCTGGCTACTTGCGAGCACATTTTCGCTCACAGCTCTTTTGACGAATACAGCGACTGGCGTTCCGGTTCTCGGGGCACTTGAATAGCGCCTTCTTAGCCGGCTCGGTAGGACGAAAAATTTTTCCCGTCTCCTTCTCACGCGCGGACTAGCCCCGTGCAAAGAACAAGGCCATACTTTAAACTTTAAACAACATGGAAATACGATGCTCTTCATTTTCAAAAGTCTTCACGCTCCTCTGCCTCTGCCCTTTCCTGGCCTTGTCCCTCGCCCTATTCCTTTCATACTCTCATCCTTCTCGCCCTGTCTCCCCGTTTCTTCCTCTCCACCTTTCTTTCGCTCCTCCTAGCTAACCTTCCTTTCTCTCTGCTCGACAACCGCGAACCGACTTGCACAGTGCTCTCTTTAACTTTAAAAGTGCTTCATTTTTTAATGAGCTTTTAAAACGCAAGCAGCAGACTCGGTTGAATTCCTTCAATCGATCGTTACTTTTCGCCAGCCCGCTATCTCCTATTCCTTGATGTACTTACTTGGCTACCGATACCGAGGATGAACAGCATGAAGAAGAACAGTACGGCCCAGAGGTTCGGCAACGGCATTCGCACTACGGCTTCCGGATACGCGATGAAAGCCAGGCCCGCGCCACTTTTGATCACTTCGTCCACCGGCACCCCTATTTGGCGGGACAGGAACCCCATAATGGAGAAAATCACGAAACCGGCGAACACCGACGTGGCTAGGTTCGTGAAGGTCACGAAGATTGCGTCCCTGAAAAGAAAAACAGATAAGGTGTATCATTCATGGGGGGATTTTAGGTACTTAACCCTTTGCACTCGAGAGGCTACTCTCATTGTCAGTTACCATTTAAGCAAATTCTAGAGATTGTTGTTAATTAATATCTCGAATTTAACACGTTGACTGCCACGCGCATTTTACGTGGTTTGCCCATGACGCCAATATGAATATTTTATTATGCGGTGCATATTACGTTGAAATATTATTTACAACAGATAAGGTGAGTTGTATAATCGCGTTTAATGTATTTTTCGTGGTGGGGGTCACCGGTGACCCCCGCGGCGCTGTA